AGTATATGTGTTACATGGCGTGATGCTAACATGAGTGGAAATAAACGGTATAATATGGTCAAAAGATTAAAATTTTAAATGTCGCACGTAATTGATATTTTAATTTTAATTTTGATTTAAATGGATTTATTTTCCATATTATATATTTTATGTGTAAATTTGAAAATAGGGTGTTAATAAAAATGTATTGTTTTTATTATCTTATATTCGTAATTACGTCAAATATTTAAATAAAATAAAAAAATGGATCTTAATTTGTCTTTTTCTGTGTTATTTGCAATGGGAGGTTTTGTTTTGTGTTTATGATAATAAAATAAAATAAAATAAAATAAAATAAATGATAGCCCTTTCTAGAAGGTTTCTTCATGGGCCAATTGAAGGCGACCCCTTTCATTGACCTTTTCTCCTAATTGAAACTTGTGGCAAACAATTTTTGGTATAAAATTGACTCATCGAATTTTGATTCTTTTCGAATTTTGTAATTCAATCTTACCCGATCACTCAATATCTACCTCGGAGTGTTCGTATGATATTAGAATTCGATCAATCTCGACCACTCGATCGAAATCATTAGGGTTAGGCTGGGTTGAATTTTTTAAAAATTGAAAATCTGGGTCGGCTTGCAGGTTGACTTTTTTTTTTTTTTTTTTATCGGGTCGAACTTGTCCAACCCAAAATAGGGTTATAACCAGACCCTCCCACCTTATTAGGAATGTTTTGTTCCCCTCGTTCTCTGACGGATGTGGCATCTCACAATCCCCGTACACTCAATATCTACCTCGTGGTGTTCATATGATATGAGATTCGATGTATCTCGACCACTCGATCGAAATCATTAGGGTTAGGCTGGGTTGGATTTTTGAAAAATTGAAAATCTGGGTCGGCTCGCAAGTTGACATTTTTTTAGCGGGTCAACCTGGACAAGCCAAAAATAGGGTTATAACCCGACCCACCTTATAAGGAATGTTTTGTTCCTCTTCGTTCTCCAAGGGATGTGACATCTCGTAATCCAACCCAAATCTGGCTATGATACTATTTGTAATAGCTCGAGTCCACAGCTAACAAATATTATCCGTTTTTGTCTGTTACGTATTGTTATCAGCCTCATGATTTTAAAATGCGTCTACTAAGGAGAGATTCCCACGTGCTCTTATAAGGAATGTTTCGTTTCTCTCTCCAACCGATGTGGGATCTCACTGTTTGATATTTGGGTTTTATGAGATTTTTAATTATTAGTGTAACATATTTCGTAAATGAGTACGATTTTTAAAATAATTAAAAAAAATAGAATAACCTAACTCAACCGAACACGAAAATAGTTGCTAACCCAATTTGGGTTGGTCCGAACAAAAATTTCAACTCAACCCAACTCATGTATGCTTTTATCGTCCCATATCCCATTTTATAAAGAAATTCATCTACATCCACGTCAGCATGTACATTTACACCAAATAAATGGTGTAAAAAAATTAATGAATTTTTATTTTTTAAAAGATTATTTATTAAAAAATATATTTTGGTGGGTTTTTTTTAATCGATCTAAATTTTCACACCCGAATAAAAAAAAATGGTACATGAATGAACAGATACGACATCTGAATGATAGAAATTTAGAGACAAAATGACTAAGAAATGTTTATAAAAACAAAAAAACAAAAATTACTGCATATATCAAAAGTTACTGCATAAATCATAATAAGAATTTCATGATTAAGCGTGTTTTACTTTGAACAATTCTGTATCAGGTGACCTCATAAATTTTATTAAAATCATGTAAACGAGGACAAAACATGTTAGAAGAACTCAGGTTGGTCTGAGTTCATCCATGTCGGCATGTAGAAGAATATCGGGATCATCATATGCCAAATTCAGATCCCAAATCGTAGGCACGAGTCATTACATTAATGTAAAAAATATATATATCAAATTAACATTCTTTTGGTCGGTTTGCAAATTGACATTCTTTTGGTCGGATTAACTCAACCAACCTAAAAATAGAGTTACAACTCAACTCAACTCAACGCTACCTTACTTTTAAATTTATTATGAATATTAAGAATATTCATGGTTTGTAATTGATATTAGTAATGCGTTATGACTCGTGAATGTTTAATGTTTTAAACTTATGAGATTTTAGTTATTAATATAATAGTACGACGGATAAATATGATTTTTTAAATAATTAAAAAGATAACAACCCAAAAATAGAAACTCGGGTAGGGTTGTGAACTTCATTCAAGTTGTTCGGGTCACCAACCTCACTAACTCAAAATTTTGGGTATGTTCAAAAAATTTCTCCGACCTAATCCGTGTACATCCTTAATTTCTTGTGACATTACCACGTTACCTAATTATCTCGAATTATTGAGGATAATAATAAATATTTTATTTTTAGAAAAATAAAAATTTAATTTTAAAAAATTGTATAGGTAAGTATAGGGATAATATTAAAAATTATTTTCCCCCAATAAGAATTGATAGGGAAATTTGTAATAAAAAAAATAAAAAAATAAAAAAATAAAAATAAAAAAAGGAAAAGTTTGGAAAAGAAGACAATTATTGGATCTGAGACATCAATTATTACAAAACGTGAAAACCAATCAAAGCGATGACCTGGATTGACTTGACGTTCTCTTAAAAAAAAACATGTTATAAATTATTTTAAAAATTAAAAAAAATAAAAAAAATGTCAATATTTGTTGACTATGGTTACAAATGATATCAAAGTTAGACATCGAATAGTGTGCCACCGATGACGCTGAGCCCTTAAGGAGAGATGAGTTATGGGAAATTTCTTCTCCTTATCTCCTTAACAGACTCGTTTTAAAATCTCGAGAGAAACGGAAAGCCCAGATAAGACAATATCAGATCCGTTCCATATCAATTTTTCTCCCACATTTTATAAAAAAAATCTATATATATATATATATATATAACATGAAATGTTGGAAATGTAAATAAAGTTATATATTGGCTAAGAACCGAAAAGATCACGAGTTTCTTAATAAGTTCACTATCTTGATTGGTGTGAGATTTTTTTTTTTTTTTTTTTTGTCATTAATTTATTAATTTTATGTTATAAGGGTGTGGGCCCCGAAGGAGATGGATTGTGATGTCTCACGTTGGTTGGGAGAAGAACAAAACACTATTTATGAGGGTGTAGAAACTTACTCTTAGCGCGTTTTAAAGCCTTGACAATATCTGCCAAACACGATATTCGTTTTAAAGCCTTGAGGGGAAGCCCGAGAACACGATGTTCATTTTAAAGCCTTGAGGGGAAGCCCGAAAGAAAAAGTCTAAAAAGGACAATATCTGCTGAGCAGGATATTCGTTTTAAAGCCTTGAGGGGAAAATATCTGCCGAACATGATATTCGTTTTAAAGCCTTGAGGGGGAAGCCCGAAAGAGAAAGTCCAAAGAAGACAGCCCGAAAGTGAACCCAAAGAGGACAATATCTGCCGAACAGGATGCTGGGCTGATGATAGTGTCTACTTATCTCCTATTTTATTTTCATAATTTTTATTTATTTTTATTATAATCGAGATTGGGATTCTCAAATAATTAGTAGAAATTGGGTGATTAATTTTTTTTTCCTTATATATATATACAAATAATTTTTATTTAAAAAAAAATGTGAAATATCGTAATAAATTCAATAATATTTAATAAAAATAATATAAATAAGTGAGACAGGACGGGGACGGGGGGTTGAAATTGAATAAGATAATCTTCAACCCAACGTGTTAAATGAACATCTCTAATAAATAATAGCCTGCATCGACAACAAAAAGTATAGCACTTCTAAATTCAATTAAAACTGAAAAAAAAAAAAAAAAGATAATCAGTTCAACGGAACCGATTCAAATTCATAGCAAATTGAAGAATTAAGTTGGTTTGGATGAAAATCATACCGAACCAAAAATCGTGAACGCTCCTAAATGCAAGCATTCTAAGGCTGAAGATCAGCTAATTTAAGTACAACAAATAGAAACCGAGACACAATATTTTATACAATATTCTTATTATATATAATATAAATATATTAATCTTCAATCTCGTCTCGTGTTGCAAGTCATTATAGCTTTAGACTCTTCAACCTGCAAAAATCGAAAAATAAAGTTACAATTCAATCAAATCCTAATTCAATCAACCCGTAAATATTTTGTATTTGAACTTTATAATATTTTAATTATCAATATAACATGTGAATAATTATGGTATTTTTTAAAAAAAGAACACCTCGACAATCCAATTTGAAAATACAGAGTTAAAATGGGTTAGACGGTATCCTCTATTCCGATTACTCAGGTCACTGACCCAACCAACTTGTATACGCTCCAATAATAAAAAATGGTTTATGATTGAAACGGACCGAGTTTATTATTTAACCAGAAACAAGTTTTTTCTTATCACGAGTGTTCATCCTTCTCGAACCTATTAATTTTTTCGACTAAAATCAAACGCTCAAACCATATTATCCTGGAATTTCAAGTGGGTCTAAAAGATTTTTTCAACCCAACCCAAGTATACCCAGTGATCACAAATGGTTTATGACTGAAACGGACTGAGTTTATTATTTAATTGAAAACGAGTCTTTTCTTATCAGAGTGTTCATCCTTCTCGAACTCATTAATTTTTTCGACCAAAATAAAACGCTCAAACCATACTAATCTGAAACTTCAAGTGGGTCTAAAAGATTTTTTCAACCCAACCCATGTACACACGTGATCACAAATGGTTTATGAACAAAACGGCCCGAGCTTATTATTTAACCAAAAACGAGTTTTTTCTTATCACGAGTGTTCATCCTTCTCGAACCCATCAATTTTTCCGACCAAAATCCAAACGCTCAAACCATACTGACTTGAAATTTCAAGTGAGTCCAAATGATTTTTTCAATCCAACCCCTCTACACCCCGTGATCACAAATGGTTTATAACAGAAATAGTCCGAGCTATTTAACCGAAAACAAGTCTTTATTATCAGAGTGTTGATCGTTCTCGAACCCTTTAATTATTCCGACCAAAATCAAACGCTCAAACTATACAAATTAATTCCGAAATACATCCAATAGAGAAAGAGATTAACCTTTGTTCGTTGGAGTAATATTGGTCAGAAGAATTGGAGTAATTGGGCAAAGGAATTCTTCCAATCTCAATATTATGGACGTCCTCCACCAGCATCTCGTAGTGCCTCTTCACTTCCTCCGCCGTCTTCCCGCCGACGGCTCCGGCCAGCTTCTGCCACCGGTCCGGCGAGTCCTTGTCGTACACCGTCAGAGCATTTTCGAACACCTTGTTTTGCTTTGGACTCCATGAGTTGGAGCTTGACGATGAAGAAGATGAAGAAGAAGAACTCATTTATTTATTTATTTATTAATATATATATATTTTTTAACTCCAAATATAACTTCCCAATTTATAGAGAAATATATATATATATATATATATTTATTTATATTTTTTAAATTTATTTTAATTTCCATGCCATGGAAAAAAATATATTCTTCAAAAATCCAATTTTCATTTTCATTCCCTTTTTCTTTTTCGTCTTCTTCGTCAAGTTGTTTGACCGGTCAAAGTTATCGGGTGGTCCACGAAAAACTTAAATTATAGCGTTTTACTTACTCCGAGCAATTTTGTGGGGATAATCTTTACTATATTGTCCTTTTTGAGTTTTCGGCTTCTCCTCGTTTTAAAAGCCACACCGTTGTAAATAGTAAATCAATATGGGACATCACAATCCACCCCCTTCGAGGCCCAGCGTCCTCGCTGGCACTCTTTCCTTCCTCCGATCGATGTGAGATCGTCCCCAAATCCACCCTTCTTTGGGGCTAGCGTCCTTACTGGCACACCGCCTCGTGTCTACCCCCTTTGAGGAACAGCAAAAAGGCTGACACATCGTCCGGTATCTGGCTCTGATACCATTTGTAACGGCCCAGATGGGGAACAGCAAGAAGACTGACACATCGTCCGGTGTCTGGCTCTGATACCATTTGTAACGGCCCAGATCCACCCTTAACAGATATTGTCCTCTTTGGGCTTTCCCTTTCGAGCTTCCCCTCAAGGCTTTAAAACGCGTCTGTTAGTGAAAGATTTCCACCCTCTTATCAAGGGTGGTTTATTCTCCTCCCCGCCAATGTGGGACACCATAAAGTAATGTGATCATGTCACACGGGAACGTAGGAGAATATCGGGACTATTAAGTATTAAATTCAGATTTCGAATTGGTGGTAGCTGAGTTGTTACGATTTGAGTTCATAATTTAAAGTTGAGAAAAGGGTTTCGTAGTACGATATTTTTCAACGTTATAATGTTCACGTTTGATTATTTTGACACGTATGATCAGTAACAAATGGTTAAAAATGGTGTTGCTCCGTCCAATTTCGGTTCGTTTTATGTCGGGATAGCGACTTTTATCTCGTATTTTAGGATATTTTTAAAAATAAATCTAATCAATTGAGCTATACTCACACTGACCCGGGAGTGAATTTTAATCGGAAATTATTATTTTTTTCCCAAAGTTGGAGGAGTCAAAGTGAAAAAGAGTTAAGTGTATATTTTGGAATCCTTATCATTCCACGTTCGTTGGGATGAGAATTTCTCCTCTTTATTTTTTTGTTTTTCAAATTCCTTTTCAATCCATTTTTTTTAAAAATATTCTTTCTAAAATATACTATTTTTATTTATTTATTTATTTATAATTATTATTATATTTTAAAATTTAAAATTACCATTAAAAGCGGTTTCCGATACTATAATCATCTAAATTACTGATTCCACGTTTTTTTCGAACTGTTTGAAGTAGCTGAGAATTATAGACGGAAATTCGTAATTTAATTCAAACAAGCGTCTCAGTCACTTTTATGTTGATTTTCTGTCTAATATTTTAATAAATTTTGAAACATTTACGAAAGATTAAGAATAATATGACATTGATATTAATCTCAAGTGGGTGTTGGTTGAATTCGCAAGTTGAAGACGTGGGTCACGTCTCCCTTTTGGCTATGCCTTTCAACTGGTTCCTTTTCATTTTCTTTCATTCGTTCCGATCCTTTTTGCTTCAAAATTAACTCAATTTTTTATCGACAAAGATATCTCTAGCTCGTTGAAATCAATGGTTGAAAAAATTCTAAAATTTCAAGTCTCGTTTGACGTTTATATAAATCATACTATTTATAACGTTCCTTCTCATATTTTTCTCTATATATTATCAGTATTTCAAACGTTATTTAAAAAAAAAAATATTATAAATATATGTAAAGCGCAGGATTTAAACTTGTAACGTTTTGATCGAAAATATATATCTAAACTAAATGAGCCAAGCTCGTGTTCGAAGTTTCAATAATCATTAGCCAATGAAAATGGACTCACTCAAGTTGGGTTGATTCCATATAAAAAGATATATAGAAAGTGTGTTGATGTTATAAAGTGATTCAAAATATATTCTCTTTCTTGCTAATAAAAATATTCTTAAATTTTGTATTTTATCTAAAAAAAATACATATTGTCAGTACTATATTTTAAAAATACCTATGAAATTTTATGAAATTATGTCTCAACCCATGCGTCGAACGTTGGATTATACACCCGCTATCTAGAACATATGTTGTAAATGGTTTAACATGGACACGAGAGAGCCCAATGCTCGAGAGAACCTAAATAAATGGATGTTCAGAATGTCCTGATGAGATGATTGGGTTAGGTTATGGAACGTGATGCTTATTTATAGTTTAGTCAATGATTATACATATTAAAGTTATATTTGGTAAATATCATAATACATATCATAATATGTACTAAAGCTATATTTGATAAATGACATAAATAATAAATAGTATAAGTAAAAAATAAGCTATATATGGTAAATAGTTATACATAGTATATGGTTATATCTGGTTATATATATATATCCACCCAGATTTTTGTAGTCATCAATATCAACCCTGTTCTTTGTGTTCTACTTGCATTTTCTCTATCCTGTTCTTTGTGTTCTACTTGCATTTTCTCTATCCTGTTCTTTGTGTTCATCTAGATCGAATGTGTGCCTTGTTGTGCGATCCTAACAGATTGATACATGGGTCAATCCCCAATGGATATGTCCGAGCAATCCATGATGGCCAATGTGTCCCAAGACATGGGATGGAAACTGAATTGACAGTGAGATGCAACGTTGTTGTGTTGCACACGATTGAACATGCACACGTAGGCAACATGTGTGGCCAAACAAGCTTGAATTCCACATAAGCGATGTTCAATTGATAAAGTCACAAGGCCAGACGAAAAATGTAAATGGAACTTAGTCCCCCTTAAAGCTTATCATGAGTGTGTCGTGATCATGGTTTCACACCGTTGAAAAAATACGACTGTGATAATAGTCATACATATTATGAAAAAAATTTATGCAAGGAAGTTACAATGATGCATTCATGTTTCAAAACTGATATGACTCACAAGGTCCCGCATAATAATACAGCATTGACATGTGGGATCAATACATATGAAATTAATACTACTTACATATGAAATTGATATCAACCGACAAGATCCAGAAAGTACTAAATCAATAGGAGTCCGGGTAGGTCCTATGCATAAAAGTGATGCACATAGAACCGTGAGTATGAAATTGATATACATCCCGAGCATAGGTAAATCACATGAATCCAAAACCATGGTTATGATTCATGTTTACCTGTGTTTGCAAATTGTTTGCAAATCTTAACCCTAGCCATACGGCCACTTACTAGCCATTTATAATACTCGACTGAAGTCAAGGTTTATCGATAGTTATCGATAGTTGACGACGGTAGACCTAGGGAGCAGCCTTTAAGTGCTCGAAGCTAAACTTGTATTAAAATGGTGAAAATACAACTATGTAATCAATCAACTATGTTCATAGAGGGATGATACCAAATTCATGGGGCATAAAATCTTCACTTGGCCTGTAGTATTTAGCTGGGGAATAAAGGCTCAAGTTGGTCACTTGGCTGCTGTAAAGGCATGCAAATCTCTCTACTTGATGAGCAAACCTAGAGTTTTGATATCCAGTCTTCATAAGCTGTCCCCAAACCCCATGAAACTGCCATATTTGTACAGGGAAATGAAGCCTAAGTTTAGAATACAATACACTATATGTAACGACCTAGATCCACCGCTAGCAGATATTGTCCTCTTTGGGCTTTCCCTTTCGGGCTTGCCCTCAAGGCTTTAAAACGCGTATGCTAGGGGAAGGTTTCCACACCCTTATAAATGGTGGTTTGTTCTCCCCAACCAACGTGGGACATCACAATCCACTCCCCTTCGGGGCCCAGCGTCCTCGCTGGTACTCTTTCCTTCCTCCAATCGATGTGGGACCACCCCCAAATCCACCCCCCTTTGGGGCTAGTGTCCTTACTGGCACACCGCCTCGTGTCTACCCCCTTTGGGGAACAGCGAGAAGGCTGGCACATCGTCTGGTGTCTGGCTTTGATACCATTTGTAACAACCCAGATCCACCGCTAGCAGATATTGTCCTCTTTGGGCTTTCCCTTTCGGGCTTGCCCTCAAGGCTTTAAAACGCATATGCTAGCGGAAGATTTCCACACCCTTATAAATGGTGGTTTGTTCTCCTCCCCAACCAATGTGGGACATCACACTATATCCTGCAAAAACATGCCTCATGTAACACGTCTTGTACCGTACCTGTCGATGACAGTCCCGTAGGGCGTCTTGATGACTCAGCCGCACTCGTTCTTGTTCACTCTGTAAAACGAAACAAGCAAAGCCTTCATTTACATGAATTACACCATTTTCAGATGTTGGTTGAGCTGATGATAATGAGCATCACCTCTAACTGATGTAGTTCAGCAGATAGTCTCTCCTTTTCATCAGCCTCGACGTCTTCAAACCTGCGTCGAAAGTCGTTACTTCAATCTCGGTGAAAACGTACAACCTGTGTTTAACTTTTAAGGGCAAGGTGGAGCGGGCGGGGCGAGGACCGAGAAGAATAGAACAAAATGATGAGAGAAGTTCAGAAAAGTACTTGAGAGACCACTTCAAATGATGTATTTTGTCTTCGATGGCATCCCGATCATTTCTTAATAGCTGAAGTTGCTGCACAAGGTTGAAGTAAAAGAATATTACACGACGAAAAACAAGGGATTTGTACGAGTTGATCTATTGCACGTTTTCTCTAGTTGAAAACCTTGCGTGTCTTCCTCAACTCCCATAAGAGCTCGACCTCCCTTTCGAGCTCTGGAACAACAAGCATAGTCCTCCATCCTGCCAAATCACCAAGCAGTATACAAAGTTAACAGAACTAGACGAACAATGGAGCAACGAACAATGGAGCAACAAACGGGGGACGAAATGTGGCTGGTATACCGAGAGCCTTTTTGCTTCGTAATATATCTCCATAGATGTGATCCCCGACATAGAGAACCTTGAAAGAAACAAAAACAGAAAAGGGGCAAGAGTAATTGAGGGCAAGTACCGAGATTAAGCATAAAAACGCCTACTAAACGAAATAGTCGCCTTGTTACATAATAAATGTGTAACAGCCCAAGTTCACCGTTAGTAGATATTGTCCTCTTTGGGCTTTCCCTTCCGGGTTTCCCCTCAAGGTTTTAAAACGCATCCACAAGGGAGAGGTTTCCACACCTTTATAAGAAATGCTTCGTTCCCCTCTCAAACCGATGTGGGATCTCACAATCCACCCCCCTTGGGGGGCAAGCGTCCTCGCCAGCACACCGCTCGGTGACTGGCTCTTATACCATTTGTAACAGTCCAAGTCCACCACTAGCAAATATTATCCTTTTTGGGCTTTCCCTTCTGGACTTCCTCTCAAGGTTTTAAAACACGTTTACTATGAGAGGGTCTAGCCCTACTTCGACCAGTGCCTCGCACCGTCCGGTGACTGGCTCTGATACCATTTGTAACAGCCCAAGTCCACTATTAACAGATATGGTCCTCTTTAGACTTTCTCTTCCAAGCTTCCCCTCAATGTTTTAAAACGCGCCCACTAGGGAGAGGTTTCCACACCCTTATAAGGAATGCTTCGTTCCCTCTCCAACCAAGGTGGGATCTCACAAAATGCATTCCCGATAAACCCATCCAAAACAATGCTGAAGTTGAACATTGGAGAATAAGATTGGAAATGCTTATATGCTTGACTTCTTATGCAAACTATCATAGTTTTCCCTTGAACTAGATAAAGGAAGAGTTCACCTGTGAACTTGATTCAATTTGAAGAAGTTTATGTAGATGCATGACATTGCCTCCCTGGAAGAACATGTGCCAAAGGTAAAACAAAATGTTGGGAATAATGGGTAAAAAGAGGGATCCAACTCTGACGGAAGATTCAGTCCCATACCTGAAAAACTTTGCAAGATTTATCTACCTTCGTCGGTGAAGACATTTCTGAAGTGTTTCCCACCTTCATCGATGAATTAAGGCGTTAAATGAAAACCATAAGCAAAGTTCATTTGACGATACCGAACTTTACAAAGCTAACCTGAGGCAAAGGCGAGCCATTATCAGTATTAAGTAGCATTCCCGACTTCGGTTCGACCCCAAATAGATTAGCACGGTTGTCCTCATGGAAAAAGCCTGGTTTAGCACTGTTTGTACAGATTTTTTCAGAAAACAGAGCCAAGGGATTGAGACAACAGCGCCTACAGGTACTGCTTTGTTGTCCATGCTAAGACTATCAAGCAGACAAACAGCCTACAGGTACTGTTTTGTTGTCGATGCTAAGACTATCAAGCAGAAAAAGACACCTAAACAATAAATCGAGAAACAGGAACCAAGAACGAAATTCCGGTAACGTGTTCGAATTGAACTAGTTAACCAGGGGCATAGATGATTCTAGATTAGGATGTTAAAAAATAACCTGCCAGTAATGATGACATCGAAATACTGAAGCCAATCTAAATTGCACTTCTGATCACCATCTGGTGCAGAAGAAGTACAAAGAAAGTTCATCACAACGTTCGTGTAGTCCCATAAGCTGCAATAAAAATGGACCATTCTATAAGCCCTTATGAACTAACTATGGCATAACAAAAGTAACAATATGAAACTAGTATACCTGTTTGTCACCAAGAAAGTAGAACGGCCAGAATCTCTGAGCATTTTAAGCATGGGTACAATTGAGGTATCCACATTGATAAACCTAAGAAGGCAATGCCCAAAAGTAGAGGAAGAAAAGAAGTTAAGTGAATGAAGGAATCGAGAAAGATTTGGTCGTCGAAGAACATATCATTACAAGATTCAACTTTCCATCCTCACCTTTTGGGATCCTTTGCAACCATTTGCTTTAAGGTTCCGTCGCGGTGACACATATCTACGGCAGCTCTAACATCTTTATACATTCGAGCATAACTGGAAGAACAAAATGAGAAAAAATAGATACTTTAAGCTACAATTTTGTGGTGACATTAATATTTTCACAAAACTATGGATCCATGCTTCGTGATAGACACTTAAAGCCATGCTTCATTACAGAAACCTAAACCAGAAATGTAAACAACAATAGAAACTAGACTACTATTTTTGTGAGATCCTACATTGGTTGGAGAGGGGAACGAAACATTCCTTATAAGAATGTAAAAACCTCTCCCTAAGAGACGCATTTTAAAACCTTGAGGGGAAGCTCGAAAGGGAAAGCCCAAAGAGGACAATATCTACTAGCGGTGGGCTTGGGCAGTTACAAATGGTATCAGAGCCAGTCACTGGACGGCAACGAGGACGTTGGCCCCCCAAGGAGGGTGGATTGTGAGATCCCACATTGGTAAGAGAGGGGAACGAAGCATTTCTTATAAGGGTGTGGAAACCTCTCCTTAAGAGACGCGTTTTAAAACCTTGAGGGGAAGCCCGAAAGGGAAAGCCCAAAGAGGAAAATATCCCCAGTGGTGGGCTTGGACAGTTCCAAATGGTATCAAAGCCAGTTACCGGACGGTGTACCAACGAGAACGTTGGCCCCCCAAGGAGGGTGGATTGTGAGATCCCACATTAGTTAGAGAGAACGAAGCATTCCTTATAAGGGTGTGGAAACCTCTCCTTAAGAGACGTGTTTTACAATCTTGAGGGGAAGCTTAAAAGAAAAGGCTCAAAGAAGACAATATCTATTAGCGGTGGGCTTGGGCTGTTACAATTTTGTTGGGCATCAACATTTTCACAAAAATAAAATATTAGATTAAAGGCCCGTGTTGCATGATCTAATCCGATACTCGAAACTTCCAGCTTTATCCGTTTTATACTGTATTTATTGTCTTCAACGTTGCACTAAAACAATATTTGTCTGTGTGTTTGTAAATCCAAACATGTGTTTACTGATTAGATTTATCAAAAGCCAAAATCTTATCATTCATCAAAGAAAGCGACCAAAAAAATAAATTTAGGGGCAGATAAGGATGCAAAATCTTAAAAAATATATAGCTAAAATATGCCAAAGCCAAATGAATTCTTACTCGACATCCTCTGGAACTTTGTCTGGATTATTGTCCTTAAAGTCTACCAGTTGAGCAAACAAGTAAGCTTCAGCTAGTGAAAAAAGGGTATCAATGAGAGCATAGTCGGGTTCATCAAACGAATCCCGTACTAGAGTACTTCCGTAGGTCTCGACTTTATCATCCTTGGACAACTCTTTGAAACCATGATAGGCCACTTTGACATACTTGTGCCTATCCATCTGTACAGAGCCATTAATTAAATCAGTTCAGCCATTTCATTTCACTTGAAAATAAGTAAAAGCCAAAAGAGCTACCTTCAATATGTTGCCTCTCCTTTTGTCAAGAACCAAACCTCTGACCATGTATTTCCAATCAAATGACCAATTCAGCAACTGTATAAGGTCAATATTCTTAACCAACGAACAAAACATTGCTACGTGTCTCGTATTTTAAAAAAAGCTTTAATCTAAAAAAAAAAACAAACCTCTTCGGAATACGCCAAATCATAAACCAGCTTTCTTATTGTGCCTTCATATGCAAGGGACTCGAAAGTTTCTGGCTTGTATTGTGCCAACGTGTAATCCATGTCGAACCCCACGGCAACAATATTTTTCATATTCAAAGATCTATTGCAAAAGATCTGCTTTCCTATGTCAATGTTGCATTCTACTGATGATGACCATATGCATGGTTGCTGGACATCCTCACTGTGGGTGACATCCAGAGAATGCGGTCTCTTGTCCTTCATGACAGCCCCTAGATTCTCACCCATGGCACCAATAGCACACGACCGATTTAATCCTGCCGTAGTTTACAGAGAAACACAGTGAGCTTGAAATTGAGAGTTGCTTCTCGATTTAATATAAAACCAACAAAATATCAAAACATAGATCCATGTACAGAGACAAATCCATAATTGAACTCAAAGACAAATATTCAAGATTACTATCTTGTCCCCTAGAAATTTATGTAACTTGTTCTTGAACATAACGTTAATATTTCTTCGTATACACAAATATTTTCTAGCAATTTGGGTGTTACCTAATTAATTTCTCATCAAAGTACACGAATGCGAGCTATCAATGTAACGGCCCCGAAAGGGGGTGGATTGTGAGATCCCACATCGGTTAGAGAGGGAAACGAACATTCTTTATAAGGGTGTGGAAACCTCTCCTTAGTAGACATGTTTTAAAACCTTGAGAGGAAGCCCGAAAGGGAAAACCCAAAGAGGACAATATCTACTAGCAGTGGGCTTGGGCCGTTACAATCAATTTCCTCTCATCTTTCAGAATTCTCTCTACGATTGATCACTGTATCTCTACAATTAAGTTGTTCCACGATTCACATCTACATCCACTGTGAGAGGCAGTCAGGATTCTTTCTCTTTATCAATCTATATCTAATGGAGAGGTAAGTAAATTTGGTTCACAAGCTGATCTTTTATGTTCAAACAAGAAATTCCAGCTCCAAACGACACCCAAGATTCCACTCTCTCAAACAAACAAAAAAACCCTTTTAGATTCTGTAAGTATACTCACCCAAGTTTTCATTTCTTTGAATATTGCTCCAAGAAACAGATACATACATATTGATACACACATAAACATAAACAAACATAAGACACGCAGGGGCATACCAAGTAAGACACGTGAAGAAGAATGATGCTAAATCCCCAAAAGCTATACTAAAACGTTAACTACAAAGAGAACATAGAAATTAAAAAGAACCCATTACGCCAGACTTATAAATGCACCACATACTTACAACCCGGCAATAAATAAGCCAGTTAAGCTCAATATTGGAAAGAAAATAAGAACAAGAAGAAGAAAACGAACTTACTTAGTGTATGAATCCCTTTGGGAACTCCAAGAAAGTGTCGAGGGGATACAGGGTATGAGAATTCGAGCGAAAACAAGGAGAGGCAAAAGGATAGCTGTCTCCTAGGAATTCGCATGGCGCATTTAAATAGGCATTTGCGGGGGAATGAAAAGGAGTGAATCAGATTCCGAAATGGACGGGACAGGTGTAGAAATAGGAGTTGGGCTTTGAGAAGTTGGATCAAAATCCAAATTCCCAATACAAATGGATGTTCGATTCGCAGAGAATAAATTCATCAGAAATGTTTGGGGGAAAAGGAATCGGAACCCTAATTTTCCATTCCCTACCCACCGGAATTAGGGCGGAGGGCTCGTGCTTCGTTTGATGGTTCCGTTAGGAGAATTTGAAGCGTCATCGAAAAGGAATGGTGGATTCGCGCCACGTGGGAACTGGCTAAGAGAGAGAAAGAAGAGAGAGATTGTGGATGACGATTGCTGTTTGATGGGACGGCGGCGATCGGCTCCGCCGATGAAGAAGGTGGACAATAGAAGGCGGAGATTCAACTGGAAAACTGTCCCAATGCGTCAAACTGGCGGGTAAACATTATCGATATTTGGCTGTTAAATAATTGATGTTTCCATTTTTAAAAAATTAATTTCTTTTTAAAGTCAATTTAAATAATAAAAATTCGAATTAAAAAAAATCAATTTTTACCTTTAAATTCGAAAATTTTATTAATTTTTAACCTAGACTTTTAATTTTTTTTATTAAATTGCACTTTTAATTTTAATAAATATAAAAAAACTACCTTGACTATTGTCTAAAAATTATTTTAGAATATATATATACAATAGATTATTACTGCATCAATACAATTTTATACAAAATAAAATCAGTTAGGATAATTTTGAAAGATTAGTTGTTTTTTTTATTTATTAATTAATATTTGATTTAAAAAAATGAACTAATGATGAAAAAAAAATATTTATTTAAATTATAAAATTAACATAATTTAATAATAATTAACACGTCTAAAAAATCATAGGCTCGAATTTCCTGTTCCAAATGTTGTTGAACTCAAAATAATAATAATAATAATAATAATTAAGTGAATAAATAACTACTACCGGGTAAATATAAATGATACTTAATAATAAATTATTTTTATATTCAATTTCATACGCCAAATTAAAAAAATTAAAAATCTTATCCATTATCATCGGTCAATTTCTTGTACAAAACAACACTTTAATGAGAGAATAAAAACTCTCAATTTTTTTTAAGGGATATTTACTAATATGCTCGAGAATAATATATTTTTATATTTAATTTTACATTTGAGAATACTAATTTTATTCTTATTCTTTTTTAATATTGAAATTTTATTAAATAAAAAAGTTCCGTTAGATAAAATAGTAATAAAATAAATTTAAAATTATTTGATTGATGATTATTTTTATTTCAAGATTAAAAATGATAAAAACAGATTATTTAATAATTCGTTTTAATTAGTTTAAAATATCTTAATAATTAAATACTTATCTAATTTTATGGTCTAATTTGTTATTTATTTATTATTTAAAAAATAATAATAAGTAAAAAAAAAATCTGGGCTAAGTATAAAAGTATCCCCGTTCTTCAGCCACGACAATGATCGGACTCCGCCTTTTCTCGGTTCCAACCGCCGTCTCACGATCAGAACAATGATCCATTCCAAGAAAGCCAATTGCAGCGCCGTCAATTTCCGATCACAACATCTCGTAGAGGCCTCGCTATGATTTCATTTCTCGCTGCGATGCCGTCTCTGTTTCTACCTGCTCCTGCCGCTGCTTTGAATCTCGGCATTTGTAAGCACGCTACGCAACATTGTGTCGTTGATTGGTTTACTTGTCCTTTTGTTCTTTATTTTCTTGTTGAAACCCTAGTTTATCGGTTTGTTTGCAGCAGGAACGAAGGATTGCTTGAAGGAGCAATAGAAGAAGGCCTCCACGTTCCTCTTGGCGCCAATTGATGCCTCCAGAGATAGCCTTCGCGCCGTTCTACTTTTGGTTTGTAAGTTTCTCACTGTCTCTTTTTTCTTTTTCCATCTCTTCGTTCGGTATTTACTTGCGTCATTTCCGGTTTCAGCTAATGCGTTCGATTACTCGAACAAGGACATGGAGAATGTTCGAAGAATGCTCATGTCTGTTGCAAGGCATTGCGTTTTGAACGACAGGAATTCCTTTGTTCAATTTCAAGCTAGTTGCAGCCAATGCGTTTGATTACTCGAACAAGGATATGGAGAATGTTCGAAGAATGCTCATGTCTGTTGCAAGGCATTGCGTTTTGAAGGACAGGAATTCCTTTGTTCAATTTCAAGCAAGCACAGGAGTCGAGGTTCTATCTTCCTAATATTGCTCATATTTCTTTCTGTGTTGTTTTTTTTCTTCTTGTATATGAAACAGTTTCATTGATGTATGCAATGTATAGAAATGCATTCATTTTGAACATCCTGTGCTTGTAAACCGAGCATTATCAAAACATAATCTACAATCCAAACTTGTATTTCGGCATCCCATGTCGCTACTCATAGAATCCAAATATAATGTATAGTATATACTTAATTCGCATTGTACCAAGATGAAAGATGTTCAAACCTTCTTCCAATATTTTAGCTCGAATTTAGCACTTTCGTCTCAACTTTTGAATCCCACAAGTCTGTACATTTCAATTGATTGTGAAATATGCTTCTTCCTTGATTGAAAACAAAGACCCTAGGCCTTTGCCATTGATTTAGTGAACCCCTTTTCAGGAAAGATGTTTGTATAGGTGATTTCTTTTCACATGCAGAAGATTGAACATTATTCGGGCATGCTTGGAATAATATACCTCATTCACGAAACACAATTTAGGTCCAATAGTTGTCTGTATTCTGAATGCATAATTTACGGATATATACTTGAATACATGTGTATGCCTACACCTCTGATATGGTATGGTGTAGAGACCTTGAGTAATATAATATGACATTCTCTCCATGGAGTAGTTTTAATGAAGCATGTGGCAGGTAGATGTGGTATCTCACATCCATCCAAGCTACTCACTCAGAGGTGTTCATGTTACTTGCAGATTGTCTTTATTCGATCGGTGGTAGCAGAGGCAAACCAGAAGCCTGCACCAAATACAAGCGGCAGCAAGGTTTTCCATCATCAGGGTGAGTCTGCAATGACCTTGGTAAACTGCGGATTTTATTGAAGAGATTTAATGGATCGTGCATAAGCCCGAAGTGAGCATCCGGGTCTCCGATCTGTGATAGCTTAGTGCTGGAAAATCCAAGGGATGGAAGTAGATGTTCAGGCCAATCACAGTAGAAATGGAAGACAGAATTTGAAAGAGTGGTTGAGGGTTTGTTCATAAAATCTGCTAAGAGGACTGTGTGGGTTATGTTGCATTTGTCAGCTATTGTCTCCAATACTTGCATCGCCTGGGAGTGGGTAAAATAGTAGAGTAACCCTTCTAGAACCCACACTGTATTCTTCTCCGGTGCAAAACCAGCTGATTGAAGCTTTTCAAGCCAGTCACTACTTCTGATATCAGCTGCTACTCTGTTTAACGATTTGGCTATTTGTTGATGATGATGGTGCTCGTAGGGAGATTCTATTGCTATCTTTATAAGATTGGCTTTCGCTTGCAGCAATTCAGGGAAATCAACTTCAAAAACATCACTTTCCTTCAAGCAACTTAATCTGTAAGCCCTCGTATCCATTCCTTCATTATAATAGAGGTCCCTATTATTTGAACTTGTTTAAGTGACAAACAAAACTTAAATTGAAGTTTAATATACGTCTTCTCCCTTAATCTCAAATGTTTCAGATGCAAGCAAGTAATTCTCTTTGATTAAGCAGACAGTTTCGATGGCCTCATAGTCATGGATCCTGTCCTAGTGTTTTATCCCCCTCCGCCCACTCCTACCCAACGTAAAGAAAAAGGAAAAAGGGGAGTGTGTACATTTCTTTTTCTTAGATATCAATGTGTAAGATCTAATTTCACTGCTGTTCTTATTTTGCAGTTCTAACATGCCTAGTAACAACCCTGATTGGAACTCGTTATGCTAGATAAGAAAAAAGAGGTTATTATTTGTGCAATTTTTCTATCTTCTTATCCATGAATGTTAACTAAATGCATAAATGTCTGGGAGTTGAAATACCAACCTGCACCAAGGAGAACGACTTGTGAATCTCTGCCATTGAAGGATGTCAGAGCACCTTCAATCTTTGAATCAAACCAGAGGGTACGAACAGCAAGAATCACTCCAGACATCTCTCTTGCATTGTTGCTTCGATCTTTCTTTATCTTCTCATGCAGGTTTCTCAGGCAGGCCTCTCCAGCAAGTAAATCTGCTAGTGGATCGTGAATCACATGCTTCCAAAGCGCTCTTCCTGCTGCCATTTGACACGCCGAGCGTTGGAGGTAATCCCATTCTGCCTCAATTCTAGCATGGACTTCACGTACACTATCGGCCAACAACATATCCGGAAGCTTTAGCTCAAACCACCCTGGGTCGTCAGGCAAGCCATTTTCTTTTTCAGTCATGATTCTATATTAAAAACTGACTGTTAGAATTGATATGAACTAGGAAAGCAGATAATGCATTCTGTTTTTGTAGGAAAAAAAAATGGTGCGAGAAAAAAAGAGAGAAGGATTTTAAGGAATGGGATAAGGAAAGAGAACCACACACAACCAATGCTTCAGAAAAAAACTCATCAATTAAAGGAAAAGGGAGGGTGAGTACATCAAGTTCCACGAGAGTACGTTAAATCTCGTAATTTTGCTCTTTCTCTTTATCTCTCTATTGTGGATTCTATTGGGTTGTCTTTCATCAGAGAAAGAAGGAAAAGGGGCTCCACTGAAAAAGACGAACAGATATGAGTGGCTCACAACTTGGGTATTGAAATTGCTTTGCTATTTCTATAATACCAGGTACCTTTGTTTTTATTCATTTACATGGCAAATGTTTTTCTGATTCCTAAGCAGCACGTGGCCTTTGATACTCCATTCCTTTGAGGCCCGTTTGGTCCTCATAGGTAGATATTTTTGGTTAGTGTTGGCTAATGGCAGTGTATTGATTGGTTGGGTTATGGGGCTATCCTTTTTGGATATGGCTTAATATCTTTGCCTCCTTAGTTTCTTTTCTAATTTAGTTAACTTTTTTTAATAACTATAAGTTGTATATTCTATTTCTTGGGCTTAGCTCTTTTCTTTTTTTTCCTTTTTTGTTTTGTTAACTCAAATATAATTAATTGAGGTTAAATCTTGATATAAGATATGTATAAATACACATATTGAGTTCAATATTAGGAAATTCAAATCTTTGACCTATTCATCGAGAATATGTGTTAATTATGTTTAGGTTATCTCTTGATGTAGATTTTTGAATTTTGTCCTCAATGGAGTTTGGAGGTCTAATTTATCTACTTGTACATGAAATTATAAATGGAACTGTATATGTTGGTTATTTTTGTAGAAATCTCACAAGGTTTTTCCTTTTTTGCAATAACTGGTTTTTTTAAACTTGAAATGAGATTTCATTTAATTTAGGGAATAGGTAAGGAGTGGGAAGAGATTTTACATATATTTCTTTATTTACTTAGTAAATATATATATGTAAGTGTTTTTCATTTTTACTTTCTTATTTCAATTTATCGAACTAGGCGACAAGACATGTTTAATATGTTCTATATATGCATGTGCCTGTTATCTTAAATATTGACCTCTTATCTTCATTCATTGTATGTTCATTATCTTACGTTGCATATAATAATTGAGAATTAGTTTTTGTGAAATGTTGAAAACGGGTGGCCAAATATTGACACGAATAGAACTGATATGCTAATAAGATCCTGAAAACAAATCAGGTCTAGAAAAAATCTATGCTAAAATCGTGGGAAGAAATCATGGGAATGTCCAAATCAATGATTAAATTCTTTTTTTGATAAATGACCCAAAAAGCCTTACTCAACCCAACCCAAATATTTTTATCATATTGAGTTCATTCTGAAAGAATTGAATAGGGAACAAAACAAATGACGGAGTCCAACCCAATCCAACTCATGAACATTCCAAATTCATAAACACTCTAGTGGGATACATGAAATAAATTTCAATGTAATGAAATTTTATAAACAAAAATATTGGCCAAAGAGAGGTGCAACAGAAAGGTATTGCAAAAATTTGGAATGAGAAAAGCCAAAGAGAAGACGGGGAATAAATGAAAGAGATACAGAGCGAGAGATGGGGTCTGGTTGTTCACAAAATGTCCTCTTCCTAACCCAATAAATGAAAGGAAAAGAAGGGGTTTCTTCATCTGAAGGATATCTGAATTTCTTCAAGAGTTCTGCCTTTGGTCTCAGGGACCCATAGAGTAACAAATAGCACCATGAAACAAGTCACCACCAAATAGATTGTGAATGTTCCTGTCAATTCCCAAGATGATATTCATAGATATTATCTAACTTATCATATGTGAGCTCTTAGTTAGTTTAAACGTAAATGAACGGAGAAGAAAATGATAACCTCAACCGTAATTAACATGTACTTTTTTCCTTGTGATTGGTGAGCTATGTTCATAGTTAGTTAACATGACTTCTAAACTCGTGTGCAAGTTTAGATGCAGAATTTTAATCCAAGAACTCCTCCTATGGCATCATAGCTTAATAGAGAAACATACCTCCACTGCTCCATTCTAAGAGCAGGTTTGCAGACATTGTGACCCCCCACGCGCTAAACCAGTTGGCTAATGTTGCTATACTACCAGCAAGCCCCTTGATATTCACAGGAAGAATCTGCACCCCACCACCAATAATACTACAGATTAGCTTTAACTTGTATCACAAACTGTCTATGTTCTAAATGGCCATCACTTCACAAACCCCTCCAACAACCTCACTAATTCTAGGCTATTTTACAGTAAAATAGGAGAAGAATGATGAAAGGAAACAAGAACAATGTTTTTGTAACGACCCAGATCCACCGCTAGCAGATATTGTCTTCTTTGGACTTTCCTTTCGGACTTCCCTCAAGGCTTTAAAACGCGTCTCCTAGAGGAAGGTTTCCACACCCTTATAAAGGGTGATTTGTTCTCCTCCCCAACCAATGTGGGACATCACAATCCACCCCCCTTCGAGGCCCAGCGTCCTCGCTGGCACTCTTTCCTTCCTCCAATCGATGTGGGACTGCCCCCAAATCCACCCCCTTTTGGGGCCTAGCATCCTTACTGGCAAACCGTCTCGTGTCTACCCCCCTTTGGGGAACAGCGAGAAGGTTGGCACATCGTCTGGTTTCTGATCCACCCCCCTTCGGGGCCAGCGTCCTTGCTGGCACTCTTTCCTTCCTCCAATTGATGTGGGACCGCCCCCATATCCACCCCCCTTTGGGGCCCAACGTCCTTACTGGCACACCGCCTCGTGTCTACCCCCATTCAGGGAACAACAAGAAGGCAGCACATCATCTAGTGTCTGGCTCTGATACCATTTGTAACGACCTAGATCCACCGCTAGCAGATATTATCCTCTTTGGGCTTTCCCTTACGGTCTTCTCTCAAGGCTTTAAAACGCGTCTCCTAGGGGAAGGTTTCCACACCCTTATAAAGGGTGATTTGTTCTCCTCCCCAACTAACGTGGGACATCACAGTTTTTCTTCTCTTTTTTTTTAAACAAAAGTAGCTATGATGGGCATACCTCAGACATTATGATCCATGGAATTGCTCCAACACCCAGAGAGAAAGTAACAACCATGGCCTGCAGAAACATTGCTCCTATTCATTCACAGGATCAAGCTTTAACAACTAGTTTTAAATGATGTGTAAACTTGGACATACCACAACCCCCACGACTGTCACGATTCCCGATATACTATACAAACTGGAATCCTCAGAGACTGCGTCCTGATATCAATATTGAAACATAGAAAAGCTTAGATACAATTCCCTAAGATCTTGAGGCTATGGAAGAAACAAAAAAAGAACTAGTTAACCTTCACAAAGAATGCCACAGCAACAATTAGAAGGCTAAGTGTCATTCCAACAGACGAGATCTGAAACGAAAAAGTAAAAGGGAATTAACAACGAAGTCGACTAGTTACAAGAAATAAGAACACTAACATGAAACTCACAATAAGTAGAAGACGACGTCCAGCTCTGTCAATTACCCATGTTG